TTTTTTTTTTTTTTTTTTTTTTTTTTTTTTTTTTTTTTTTTTTTTTTGTCTCTCTTTTTTTTTTTTTTTTTTTTTTTAAATAATAATACAAAATCAGAATAACAAAATAATAAATGAGCCCATTTCACAAATTTGGGCCTAAATTACAATCAAAATATCAATCAAGCCCAATCCCAATTGAAATTAAGCCCAACCTAATTGATACAAATAAATCAGCCCAATTGAAATTTAGCCCAAGCCTAATTGTTAACTAATAAACCAACCCACTTAATTATTAAACCAATTAACCCAAACCCAACTAATAATCAATAACCCAACCCACGTAATTCTTAAGCTAATTAACCCCTAACCATAACTCATACCCACACCCGATTGCAATGGGAGTCGGCGGCTGGGATGTGTGAACTCGAAGGAGAGTGTCAACTGTGGGGCGCCAGTCTACTGGCGGCGACGCCTTGGGTCGCGCACTCGGTTGCTGCAGTCTTGTGGCTGGGTGATTGTTGGGTGTCGACCGGGGGAAGCATGAAGCAAGTAGCGCCGTCGATGAGGTGACCGCAGTAGGGTGCTGCCTTTGCTGGTAGTTTCTGGTGGCTTAGTAGATTGTGTGTGGGGTGGTTACTGATTGTAGCAGTGTATATGGTTGCTGTGGACGAGTTGGATAAACAGGTGTACTATGTGACGGTTGGGGAGGTGGAGGCGTGAAACTGGGTTCTGCAAGTAAGTATATTGTCTGCAGCAACGGGTTTTGGTATGGATGGTGTATGAATTGCTGTCCAGGGTTTGCTCTGATACCAATTTGATGCAGGGAGATTAATAAGTCTGTGAATAACAAGAAGGGATGGGGAGGGAAGTGAAGAAGAATACAGAGGAGGGGAAAAAAACGGCAGCAAGCCAAATCCTTAATTAATCAAATTCATCATCCCAAATAACAATGTAAGATAGGTTTAAATACTGGAAAATAATGCAAACCTAGGGCCAAGCCCAATACAAAAGTCCATAAAATTAAAATAACCTAAATTCCAACTAAAATAATTAAAATTGCTAAAATTAATTAAAATTGGATGTCCTCATCAGAGGGCCTTGGCTTTGAGCTCCATTAAATACAAAGCAGATGTCCTAGATACGAAGTGTGCCTATATCAGTGTAAATTAGCATAGATAAGTTTTACTTTTCAAGCATATGCAGTTGAATTTGATCACAAAAGACTTACTGAAAATATACTACTCGTTGTGACTAAAATGAGCTAATGTATATACTTAGAACAAAAATATTTAACAGTGAAGGAAATAGTCATGCAAAATTTTTATTTATCGTATAGCATGATATTAGAACGATATAATTATGCACAATAGCAATGATCAAAATTTCCTTAGTGCAGATACTTCCATTCACTAATGCCATTATTTCTGGTGAAATGATGGAAAACGATAATTTGGAAGTTACTTTTAATTATCAGATTCTAGAATTCTTTTTAAGCTAGTGAGTTTTAGTATTTTCTTTCATAAAGATTATGTTAAAATTTCTACTTGTGTAAAGATCGTGTTATGATTTCTGCTTGTGTCGATTCTTCTAATTTGGAGCATTTCAGTTATTCATTTGCTCCCTACTTAGGATAGGGCCTATATTATCAAGGTTCTTGTGGGTTTTGGAACCTAATGGATTTGACAACTAAAAATAGTTGATTTTTCTCTGCTAAACTCAGCGATAGGTTAAATCAATCTCGTGGTGAACTTTCTTGGTCCATTGGTTCACACTAGTAAATATTTTGCCTTAATTTTTTTTTATTATTTTATTTTTTTGTATTGTTAGAGTTGGGTGGTTAGTGCAATGGACAAGATTTTAGTTCTCATTTCTGATTTAATCCACTTCACCAAATGTGCCACAACTGTTTGTGCAGGCAATCGTAGAATTCTTCAAGAAATTCATTGATTCAATCAGCACGGATTTGCAGTTTGCTATTGATGATATATCTGAGGAGGATACCTCAGCTATTGGGGTAACTTGGCATTTGGGTAAGAAATAAGTTTATTTCTTTTTCCTCTAGTTGCTTTTCAATTAACTTCTCTTGCTTATGGTCTAAAAATTTGCTGATAATATGAATGGTTGACAGAATGGAATGGAAAAACTTTTCCTTTCAGCAAAGGATGCAGCTTTTATCGGTTAGAAGTGATAAATAGCCAGAGGCAAATAGTGTGAGTTTATTATTGGTGCTCTTGCAACTTAAGTTCAATGCTCAAACCATAATCTATAAAATTATCTGCACGTTGAATCCAAATTTTAGATAAATCAATATGTCTTCTCTCCACTAGCTTGAGCTTTTGAACGAGGTGGTTCAATATGCAGTCGAAAGCCCCGAGTTCAAGTCTTGCTGCCACCATTTTATAAGGATGCCTTTTGATAAAAATGAATTTGTTCTACACGTAAGGGGCATGAATACAAAATTTAGATAAATAAACATGTTCTTTCTCTAGTAGGTTAAATTTTTACATTGAATGGTTCAATAGAATAAGATACATTAATCAGCTTTTGCGCGAGGATACCTGCTAAAGAGGTTTATTTCATAGTATATCTTTACATTTTTACCTGCTCAAATAGTTTCTTTTCTCCTCCCCCTTTTCTTTTTCACACGTGTCTGCCATAAGTTAGTCTCTGGAGTAAATATATTCATGGCGAAAATTTATCACTCTCTTGTCTGAATTTTATTATTTTGTAACTTGATACCGGGATGCTGATCTTAATCTCAACAACACAGTTATGGGAGAGACAGTGTTGAACCTGCTATCAAACCTGGAGAGACAGCTCTGGTAATTGTTATGTGTGCATCTCTCAATAATTATATATCTAATTGCCCCTCTGCATTAGCATATAAGTAGAAAGCTCAAACTTTTTTCAACTAAATATGGTAATTTCCTCCCTACATGCCTAAGTTAATATTAGTGCAAGCATGCAACATTATTTCGGGAACTATCATACTTCTTAAAATGAACTGGATTGCAATTGTTTACTATTGGTAACAGAAATAAACTGTCATATTGATCGAATGGTTTGGTTTTAATGGAATATGATATTCATTTAAATAAGAAAAGTCACAAGCCAAAATCTCCTCCCCATTATGCGGTTTCCACTTTTTACTTTTTTTGGTAACTTAAAATTGAGGAATGTATGAACAGGATCTAGAGAAGAAAAATAAAACAAACAGGTCCTTTTTCTTTTACTGCTCTTATTCTTGGCATCTGTATGTTCCAGGTTGCTATCAGAAGTGTTGCTTGGCTGCTGCAAAAATTCCCAAACTTGGCAGACCGGTTATGACTGTAGCTTGAAATGTTAAATTGCTACTAATAACATTCCAAAATTTGTTAATCGGAGTAGATATCAACCTGTACAGCAAACAAGGTTGGTGAAAGAAAAACTGGTACATGATTTAATTATTTGTACTGCACAAATGTTCACGGTTCAAATTTAAGTACCCATAATCGTTACTTAATTGCAGGTATGTACAAAAATTGAATTATATCAAATTTCTCTGCAAAATTTGGTTTATTTTCTCTTATCACCCGTAGGATAAGTGGAAAACCAATTGCAACTGTATATGAGGGTGAGTTATTTCAAACAGAAAAATTCAGTGTCAACGATTTATAGTATAAAGATTAAATCAGATTCTGCCGTCTAGTGACATGGTGGTGGATTAAAAATCATTGCTTGTGAATTGCATTGGTAAAGAATGAAATGGAGTTACGGAGATAGGAGGCTCGGATTAGGATCAGTAGTCAATTCATGGACCAAATTTAATTAATTGGATTAATTACATGTAGGACTGGGTTAAGTTTAAAAGATAGTCAAGTCCACTTGGACTTATATTAATAGGTTGCTAGGTTTGGAAAATTCGTAGAAAATACAATTTCACATTCTTTCTAGCACAAGAAAAGAAAACCCTAGATCTCTCTATTTTTGTTCTCTGTGTGGATTTTCATTGGAGGCTTAATAATTGGACAGTTATGAATTGTAGATCTTCAAGAAATTCATCAAAGGAATAATTCTTTTTCACATTTCTCTCGAGCACAAAGAAGGTCATTGTTGGGAATTGAAAATTTTGTTAGAATTCTGCTATGCATGTTAAGTAAATTCCTAACAATCACGATTTGTGATATGCTTGTGAGTTGCATCAGAAGCTTTGTGTTACACAGGATTGCTGCTTGTGAATTGCATTAGTAAAGAGAGAATGGTATCGGATTAGGCTTATTGTGCTCTATGAGTATAGAAATGTGCATCAAATTGAGAGAAAGATATGCGCAAAGCCAGTCTGGAACCTATTCCAAAATGACAATAGTATCATTAGAAATTTCACCTTATATAATGCCCAATCTATTTAATTTTTTGGGTTGTGACACGAATAAGGGGACTGACGGATCTGCTCATTGTGGAGGGTTCAACAATAAGGAAAAGCACGACAAGTTCATAATTAGGTTCATCGGCTGTCTCTACAAGCACTCTCTTTGCACGGGAAGTGGGGAGAGGGTGTTGAGGAAACATTGTGAAACAAATTGTGGGGTCTCAAGATTCCACCACATCTGGCTGGTCAAAAAAATCGAATAATCGATCAAACCAAATCAATCAAACCGAATCGGCTCGGGTCGATTTGGGTTGGTTTGACACGTGTAATTTTTTTGGTTTGATTTTTCCTAAACAAAATCATGGTGGGTTAGTTCAGTTGTGGTTGAAATCTCAAACTATTTACATTTTTTTTAAAGAAAATTAAAAATCTAAAGATAAGTTTTAATCTCATAATTATATTTCGATTCCTTCCAATCTATGATGTTGTCATTAAGTAATAGTATTGAAAATTTCATTTCACAAGCTTATTATGTTATATTTAGTATATTTTTCCCTACTTTAGCAGTCTGGCTACATAATGCATAAAAAAATAAACAAACTTCTTAAGTTTTTTGTTGGTCTGTCTCTATCAACATGATTTTATTTGTTAGTCAATAGTTCTTGTAATATAAAATTATTTAGTTATTTTAATTCTAGTAATCTAAGTAAGCCCAAAATTCGGATAATTTTTTTAAAAAAAAATTCAATTTGGATTAAAAGTCCAAACCGACTAATCAAATTGATTTAGTTTGATTCGGTTCAATTCAGTTTAAAAGTTAGAGGGGTTGGTTTGTGTTGAAATTCACCAAAATCGACTAATTTGATTTTGGTTTCGAGTTGGAGTCGAAATTGACCCAAACAAAATCGTACTGTGTCCGTGTATTTATTTATTTATTAATTTATTAAGTATAGTTAAATTTGTAGTGTGTTCGCCGGAGTCTAGGCAACAAATTGCTGGGTCGGATTGGGTGTGGGGCTTTAAAGAAGATGTTTTTTGGAAATTTATTTTCCTCATTTCATTTTTATGTTGTTTTTAATAAAATTAATATATACGAGTTGAGAGGATTAATATTTTTAACCTTCTATAAATCATGTCAACTACAGAGAACGTGTTTATCCAAGTTCAACTGAATAAATGGATGGCATGTAATGGACAGGATCTTTTGGGAAAGAATAAGTTGTTTAGAGGATGCACATATGAAAATGAAAATAATAGAGATGATTATCGCAAAAAGGGGCAACCGATAGGAACAATGTGTGTCAATTACCATTTTCAATTGTTTATGAACATCGATTGTGATTAGTTTATTTTTAATAAGTAAATGGGAAAGTAAATATTACATATAAACTTTAAACTAGATTAAATCATGTTGCAGTTGAAATAACAACCTAGATAAAAATCTCAATTGTATGCAAAAAGTACAAAAATTTGAAGTGCAAAAATATATCACTTAAAACATTCCTAAAAACAAATGGTCGAACAATTATCATGTTAAGAATAAAAGTGCAAACGACACTAATTTCCCTACTATATAAAAAAAGGGAATGTGAGAGCACTGTAGAAAGCAACAATGTCTTGATCCATCTTTAGTGTAACATTTTTTTTTTGTTTTTTTTTTCCAATTTGGGGGCCAAAAACGACGCCGTTTGCTTGATATATATTTTATTTTATTGTACACTACCTCCAAATTTACTGCAATACGCAATTTCCATTCCTCCCAACTTCGATATAAATATATATAGTAGGGATATAAGAAAAATATCACTTTTATATTAAAAAAAAAGATAGAGATAATATGCTACAGAAATTTTTTTTACAACATATTACTTGTAAGTAAAAAATTTAAAGAGAAAAGAATTAAAGAGAATTATTAAATTGAAAAAAAAATTATAACTAAAATTACACAGAAAAAAAAAGGTAATCTCTCCGTGCACGGAGGGGAAAGAAAAAAAATTTATTGTTTTTTTTTTTTTTACTTATGTTTTTGTTTTCATTTTCAAGCTCATTACGGGATATCAAACGAAATCGAAATATTACATTCTTAATATCGTTTTGAAGTACTCGCGGCATAGTATTGCACGTCGTTAACGGTGCGTGAAACGGTCAATCATAACAAATGTTATGGGACGTCAAAGTAGACATTTTCAAACTATATTTCGAAATTTTCGATAACAAGCTAACTTTAAAAATTCATCGAAAATTGTACGATAGTTGAATCGATAAATGTTTTACATTCTCTCGAAACTCATTTTGAAAACTATATCGTAGAGATATCGAATGATCTAAATAGATATCGAAAATAGTTAAACGGAGATTAAACGTATGTGTTAAAAAATACGCATAAGTCGTTTTTTCTTAAAAAATCAATTATTTTATTACGATTTCAAAATTTTCGATAACAAGCTAACTTTAAAAATTCGTCGACGATTGTACGATAGTCGAATCGATAAATGCTTTATATTCTCTCGAAACTCATTTTGAGAACTATATCGTAGAGACGTCGAATGATCTAAATAAATATCGAAAATAGTTAAACGGAGATTAAACGTATGTATTAAAAATGCGTATACGTCGTTTTTTCTTTAAAAAATCAATTATTTTATTACTATTTTTTTTTTTTGCAACAATTTTCTCAATGCATCATTTTGCTCAAAAAAATTATGTGGTATGACAAAATTTTTTTTCTCCATGTACGGAGGAATGCATCGTTTTTGCTCCCCACTTGGAAAAAAATGAAATTTTAAATAATTGAAAAAAAAATTTACTTCATACCGCATAAATTTTTTTGAGCAAAATGATGTATTGAGAAAAATGTTGTGAAAAAATAATAAATAGTAATAAAAAAATTGATTTTTTAAGAAAAACGAGAATAATTTCAGACAATATTTAATTTTATAGTAATATTTTTAATAATATTGAAATTTTTAAATTAAATTTATCTAAATATTATTTTAGATTAAATATTAACTCAAAGTTTTAAGTGTGTGTATATATATATCATTGTAGTTAGTTTATATAATATAAAGAAGTATTGGCTTTTATTTAAAAAAATAAAAAATAAATAAATAAGAGGAAGCCTCCGTGCACGAGACATGAGGTCTCCGTGCATGAGAGAAATTGAATTTTTTTTTTATACTTACGTTTTTGTATTCATTTTCACGCTCATTACAGGATATTAAACGAAGTCGAAATATTACATTCTTAATATCGTTTTGAAGTACTCGCGACATAGTATGGTACGTCGTTAACGGTGCGTGAAACAGTCAATCATAGTAAATGTTATGGGACGTCAAAGTAGGCATTTTCAAACTATATTTCGAAATTTTCGATAACAAGCTAATTTTAAAAATTCATCTACGATTGTACAATAGTTGAATCGATAAATGTTTTACATTCTCTCGAAACTCATTTTGAGAACTATATCGTAGAGACATCGAATGATCTAAGTAGATATAAAAAATAGTTAAACGGACATTAAACATATGTGTTAAAAAATACGCATAAGTCATTTTTCTTAAAAAAATTAATTTTTTTATTACTATTTCGAAATTTTCGATAACAAGTTAACTTTAAAAATTCATCGATGATTGTACGATAGTTGAATTGATAAATGTTTTACATTCTCTCGAAACTCATTTTGAGAACTATATTGTAGAGACATCGAATGATCTAAATAAATATCGAAAATAGTTAAACGGAGATTAAACGTATGTGTTAACAAATGCGTTTTTTCCTTAAAAAAAAATCAATTATTTTTTTCTTTTTAATTCTTTTCTCTTCCAAATAAAACTTAATTTTTCAGTTTTAATAAAAAAGTTATTTGTAAGTTAAAAAAATTGAAGAGAAAAAAATTAAAAATAATTATATATAGTGTGGTCTCCGTGCACGGAGGATTATTTAATTTTTTTTTTTTTTGTACTTTTCCGCTATCCATTTCCATACGCTATGGTCATGCCTTTTCAAATCAACTCATTTGCTTATATTATTATATTATATATATAGTGTAGGAGAGGCAATGTGAATCTATGTAACACGCAACTTTCCATACCTTCCGCCTTACTCCGTGCTGACCACTTTTATAAGTAAAAAAAAAAAATATCACTTTTAGTAAAAAAAAATTTAAAATAAACATATTAACAAAAAATATTTCTAATATATGTAAAAATTACTTCTATAAGTAAAAAAATTCGTTTAAAATTATTTAGAAGTAAAAAATAAAATAAAGTTATGAAAATTAAGTGAAGAATATATAAATATTATTTAATTAAAATTGAAAAATTTACTTTATAAATAATTGGTTTTTTATTAATTTATTTAAATTTCTTTTTAATTCTTTTCTCTTTCGAATAAAATTTATCTAAATTTTTTTTTTCAAATTCTTTTGCCCTACCAACTTTGGAGTGACTGTTGTATCGTCCGAATAATAGACCTGCTATTAGGGTTCTAATTCTTACACCAACAAGGAAACTGACCATCCAGTAAGTGCCACTTCAAGTTATTTTACGTGCGAACCTGAGTTTGTCATTTAAATGTTTTTGTATGTGGATATTCTCTTTCAATTTACAACTACATGTGTTATTTTTGAACTACAAGTATAGCCTTTCGAATCAAAGTTGCTAAAGAAAATCATTTTACGAAATTCAATTTACAACTTATTTGCAATATCAGATAAAAAAAATATCTTCATCTACACTAAACAAAAAATACAATAAATAATTAAAAATAAATTATCGTTGACATATATACAATCACAACATTCATTATACTTATTTATAAGAATAAAAATAAATTATCGTGACATAAAATATACAGCCGACCAAAAGATGAGAATCAAACAAACATTTCTTATTTCCAAATACTTTTTGTACAATCTATAAATTCTACGCTAATAAAACCAAAATAAATACAAAATTCGTGCAACGCAGGATACACATACTATTATCATATATAAGTTGAATTGTTAATTTATCATTTTTGAAAACAAGTGTTTGATTACATTTATTTTTCATGGAAAATATCAGTTTTTTACACAAAAATTCTTACTTGAGGTGTTTGATTGATACTTTTTTTTATGGAAAATATTTTTTAATTTTTGAAAATATGCCTAATTTTTCTTGTTTTTAAGAAAAATATTTTTCTTGAGTGGAGCTAGTTTTTATTTTCCACAAATAAAGTAAAATATTTTTATTTTTAGGTAATATTTTTCGTGTAAATCAAATTTAATCTTATTGATAAACAAAGTGTTTTATTTGAGAGCCGTAGCTTCCTCTCTTCTTTATCCAATTTTCTGTGGCCATGGGATTCACAGTTAAGCTCTCTTTCCCATTCTCGCTCGCTCCTCTCTTCTCTTCTCTTCTCTCTCTATATCTCTAAGCACTCATGGCGAGTGCAGCACCCAAGCTGACTACTGGCCTCTTCACCACCGTCCCATCTCCATCCCACCGCCGTAAACCTTCGCCACACCACCTCCTGCAGCCACTTATCTTCAAAAAACCCACGGCCACCACCATTTCCGCTCATCGTAGAATTATCGTCACGTGCAAAGCCACTGACGTCTCATCCTCATCGTCACCAGTGGCAAAGGAAGAGCCCGGGCCATTGTCGGCCGGGAATACCAACTGGGTACCAGTGGTGCCTCTGTCGGCGCTGCCAAAGGGAGAGCGGCGCGTGATCATACAGGACGAAGAAACCATACTGCTTTTATGGTACAAGGATGATGTGTTTGCTATAGAGAATAGGTCGCCTGCTGAAGGTGCCTACTCTGAAGGCTTGCTCAATGCTAAACTCACCCAGGTTAATTCTTTGACGTCCAATCTTTCTGTTGTGATATTAAACGTAGACCCAATTCTCAATATAGTATTAGAACAATTTGATTATTCTAATATTCAAGGAGGAGTTAGATTTCAAGATTGGTGCTTTCAAACGAGCCAATCCTAAAAGTGATTCGACTATAACTGGTGTTCTATCTATGATGTGGGAACTGACTAGATTTCTTCAAAACTGCCTTTTCAAATTGCTAGAATGATCATTCTTGATAATGTGTAGATGCGAATTTTATATCGGTTATCTTTTATGTGTATAAATGCATTCTAGTTATAAATAGGATTGATGTTTCTTCTTCAAGATTCGAGAATATATTATTATCGTGTACCAATACTCAATGGAATGGGGAGAGCAATACAAGTGTTGTGATGCTAGGCAAAACAGCATGAATGCGGATAGATAGATTGGTAGACTCACACCTATATATTCCTCTAGTCTCGACCCTATGGGTAGTTAATTTTGCTGATTTGTCAGCATGTGTGTGCTTCCCTGCAACCATGCCATATCATGGATTTCTTGGTTCAAGAAATCATTATGGGAAATTATTCAAATTAAGAGTAGACATCTTTAAAAGTCTACATTAATGTCTAACATATGATATTCCCAAATTTCATGTATATTGTTGGTTTGCTATTGAAAATCTCTGCTTTGATGTACACTTTCTATATCTTCATTACCCTGTGTCCGTTTTGTGATTATTGTTATTTCTATTGCCTTGGATTACACCCCCATTTACTTTAGTTTTCAAGTCATTTTACTTTATGATAGGCATCACTGAGGTTCACCTCAATTGAATTTGATTTCAGCCTGTACTTTCCCACAATACTTAGTGACCACCTCAACCCCATTACTAAAGCTTTTGTGAAGAATTCAGTATGCTAGTGCATGTTGGGAAGTTCCATTCGTTACCCTAGAATGCCAATCTTGTTTAGAACCCATCAATCCCTCTTTAAGTGTGAGAGTTGGAAATTCTAGTTCAAGTAAGTTTCAACACAATGAGAGCCCCACAAATTTTAGGTTAGTACCTTTCTTACGATTTTGCCCATTACTTTTGATAAGCAGCTTAGCTAATTCCTTGCAGTTTACTCCCACAATTTTTTTTTTCTATAATGAAGATCAAAAGAATCACAACTGTCCACATTAGGATTAAGTTATGACGGAAGTTTGTTCACGTTTACAATATAAAAGTAAATTTTATGATACGAATACAAAATCCAACCAACTGCTCATTTAATTATCGCCTTGTCAAACCCTGTTTGCTGGATTTATAACTCAATGCATCCATTTTAAGGCTGACTATCAACTGGTATACATTTTTTCTGAGGGGAATTTTTTTCCTCTTGGTAACTTTAATGATGACTATCACCTGTGGAAATTTTTATTATCTTCAGTGATGGAAAATTCCGTCGGGGTCTCTGCGTTTTCTGGTAGTGGAAAACAATTCCGATCTCTTTGAGCATTACATTAGTGATGTAAAATATAATAGTTTGCTTCACTTGCAAAATGCTACTAATTGGTATACTGTCAATTCCTATCCAAACATGAATAATGTAACGTTTTTACATATTAAAGTACAATAACTGAAAGTTGATCTTATATGAAAGCACAGAAAAAGATCGACTTATTTTCCCAAGTAATTAAGTCCTTGGTTGAAATGAAAATGATTTACCAAAGCCTCTGTTATCAGGGAATATTGTGTTCTTAAACATCCTCGAGATTTTAGTCAAGTTGTTTCCTTTCACATTGTTGCGGTGAAAAATTGCTCCCTCAATTCCTTGGCCCATTTTGTACCCCTTTCATCTCAGGCCAATACATGCTACGAAGTTGTGAGGTATTTTCCCATGCCTTTTTGATGCCCAAGTATTATAACAACAATAATCATATATCTAGTGAATCAGTGATATAATTTGACTGGAGAACATAGGGATGTATTTAGTGCATAAATTGAGTGCACATAAAGAACTTGTTATATTAAGATGGAAACTCTATGTCTCGGTGTTATAATTGTAGTTTATAAGAACTTCGTTTTCTTTTCAACTTCTTCTTAGGTCATTTTCTCTATAAATAGACGGGCTTATTCATTGTAATTCACAACCACAATAAATGAATAAACATCGATTTTCCTCTTGCCCTCGATTCTTGTCTTTTTTGCACCCCTTTCTCTTTTAGTTCCTAATTGTTCAGTGTCAAATTATACGCATCCTGTGTCACTCGTATTTAGTCTGTGTAATTTTTATCTTTGACATGTGATAGGAAAAAGCTTGGTTTATTCTTATTAAACAGTTTACAAAGTTTTCTGCAGGATGGTTGTATTGTTTGTCCAACAACTGATAGCACTTTTGACCTACGAAATGGAGCCATCAAGGAGTGGTATCCAAATAATCCCGTTCTGAGAGTCTTGACTCCCCCTTTAAGAAATTTATTCGTCTACCCCGTGAAAACTGATGGAGAAAATATTTATATAAGCATTACCAGAGGTGCTCAATCTGATGCATCTGCAGAGATTGTTTTCAGCGGAAAGGCTCAGCCTGGTTTAACTGCAACAGATGTCAATGTTGATGAGGTAATTTGTAGCTCAATGAACAGTTTGGCTAAGCTAAGTAACTTTTACTTTACTATTAATTCCAATATGTTCAATAGATAATTTTTTTGGTAATTCTTGGCCAAACATGGTCTATATGTCGTGAAATTAATCCAACGGCTCCTGGAAAGCTATTACTAACATGCTGCCTCAACTTTGTTTTTCAGGTTAGAATGGTGGTCGATGAGGATTTTGAAGGTTTTGGTTTCACGGGGAAGAATGAATTGATAAATGGAAAGGCAGCAGTAATTGGCTTCTTATTGCTGTTGGATTTCGAACTATTGACAGGTAAAGGACTCCTCAAAGGAACCGGTTTCTTGGACTTCATTTATTCCATTTCAGATGCTTTAAAGTAATTTTCGCTAAGGGCGTTGTCTGTATGTAGTATGGGTAAAGATGTAACGTGGACAAGATTTTAACTCCCTTCTTTCTATTTCTTTCTAAGTACTCTTTAATATGCCTTACCATGCATGAGATAAACGTGTAATTAAAGAATGAGTTCTGATTGTTAAAAAATATTAGAACTGTCTTGCATTCTTTCCTCCTGGATTTGATTCGACTTGGGTTGTTTTTGTTTAGAACGTGTTACAACAAATTTAACAAGATTGATCATTGTATGATATTATGGAATTATGATTTAAATCAACAGTTACTGAAGTTGGGTGTAAAAAGGAATTGATTGGGTAATGTCATATCAATTTATTTAATATAACATGACAAACATATTTATTTAGCTTTTTTATAATTATTTTTTCTAATTTTATAACAATGAGACAAACACATTTTAGTTCAGTTAAAAAAAGTAATTAGAATTTAAGTTAAAATGAAAAATTAATTTAATTTTACATTTCATATGCACCACAATTTTTCAATAGCATAGTCTATCATTATTTATTTTATTAAAATGTCCTAAAAACTTGATTTTTATCTAAAACAAACTGAGACTTAATTTATCACTATTACTATACTTTTATTTTATAATTGAAAATAAAATAAGGGAGTACAAGAAGGAATATTTATATGAAATTATTCCATAGAATGGCTAGCAAATATTTGCAAAAGGCAATAGTGATTATAAAACGATACGGAATACATCGTGTAGAAATCGGGATAAAGAAAAATACATTATAAAAGGAGTATTTACCTTTTTACACTTAAAACTAAAAGAATAATTTTTTCCTCTCTTTTTAAGTATAAATTGACAATCTAATTTGTATTATATCAAGCTCGATCCCAACGTTACATTTGACTATGGTCTACTTAATTGAATTTGGGTTGAGTTTCATGTTTTCAATTGTTAAATTGCACATCACATTTGTTAAATATACACGTGTTTAAGAATTCGTGTGTTCTTGAATTTGTAATATGGAAATTTGCACTTTCGGAATTTCAATTTAAACGAAATAAATTGATTAAACTTCGATCTTTAATAACAGAAATGTGTTGATTTTCGTAAACTTGTCACTGCCATTCACGGAAACATGTTTTCACTTCAAGGTTTATAAATTAGTTAATTAACAAAGTAAAATATAGCTTCATAAAATTAAATATTATAAAATCACGTGACAATTTAATAAAGACTTCGCTTTGTTATCGGTTATACTATAAACATTCTTATAATCGCTTATAAATTCATGAACCGTGCTGAAGGGATAAGGTCAACGTGGCCCTGTCCGTCCAGGGGCTGAATTGGAGGGGGCGCTAACGACTTTTTCCTAAATTTATTGGTATGAGACTTATAATTATTAAATTTAGAGTAAAAAAAAGTCTTGATATGATTTATTGCACGTGATAATATACAAGGTGGAACAAAAAATAATTAAAAAATAAAAATTTCTAGAAGAGTCAATTTGGAGAGGCCTCTCATTTATTTCCGAGGGTTTGAGACGTCACACATCATGAAAAGAAGCATTTGACCTTATCAACTTGGATTTCTTTCTATGATTTTACCAAACTTCTCCCAACCTAACTGTCAGTCAAAATTGCGATATTAATTCTTTAACTATAAAATTTTAAAACTAGATCTAGATATTGATTCAAAAAAAGCAAAAAAGTCAATGGTCAAAGAATCAGATTGGTTTTGTACAATAATTATTCTAACCGTTTTTAAAATTTTAAACTTTATAATCAGACCGAATTTCCAAGTCAATTAATTTGTTTTATGTATAGACAAAACACTCATAAAACTTCTTAATTCATGAAACACAAATTCATCAAAACGTTAGTGATAAAAAATGCATATTTCACCGTCTTTGACAATTTATAAAAATTGTATGAATAATGGAGAAAACCATTTTGACTTTGATCTCAAACCCACGTGAAGTAATAAAAAGAACATGGTCAGCTGCCCACAAATTCCTTTTGACTTATAATTCTTCAACTTATAAAAGCACCTTCTCTCCTCTCCCACATTATAAGTTACAAACATCAAAATAAAACTGCATTTTATTGATTTAGGCTGGAAACTTGTGATTAAATGAGCATGAGCAACTCAGACAAATCTGAGAAGAAGTACAAAGGCATTCGACGTCGAAAATGGGGCAAATGGGTGTCTGAAATTCGAGTTCCGGGCACGCAAGATCGACTGTGGTTAGGATCATACTCCACGCCGGAGGCTGCAGCAGTAGCTCATGACACAGCCTTGTATTGTCTCCGAGGAGCGTCGTCCTCACTGGATAATTTCAACTTCCCTTTGATGTTACCGGCTAGTTCTCGAATAGGAATGTCCCCAAGGTCTGTGCAAAGGGTCTCCTCGGATGCTGGCATGGCTATTGATGCACAATTTTTAGCCTCGAGTAGTTCTGATAATGTGGAGAAAGTTGACCAAAATGGGAAGGGCTCTTGGCTAGATGATCAGTAACAATTGAGCATTTCGGTTGAAGATTATCTCAGATGGCCTTCGATATGATTATGAACAATAAAAATAAGTTAGATTTTTTGTCTTATTCTACTGTTCAGTTCTATCTAATACAATACCGTCTTTGCAATTCTCTCTCTCTCTCTCTCTATATATATATACACACACACACACACACATACACACACACACAGAGGAGATATATTTCATTGAGAGAGTTGGTTCAACAGACTGTTAATAATAAGTTTTTATGTTGATATTGACAAGTTTGAAGAGAACTCTGTTTGTACTCGACGGCTTATGATTTTAAGGTCCACGAACTTTGTTACGTAGAAATTTGGAGCACAACTGGCCATTAAATTTGACCACTAGTCGAGCAGTCTCGACTGGGATCGAGTTGGGCAATTGATCAATTTTATTGAACTAGCAAAAGGAACACGAATAAATCAATTTTGAGTTGGCCTTGTTGGGAACTTGGGTAGAACTTCCCACCATGCACGGGCAAAAAAGAATGAACACGACAATACCATTAGAGCAATCTTGATTAGAATCGAGCTCAAAATTTATGAACTTATCCAACTCGGCCCCATTAAACACACTCAGTTTTATAGAAAACATTCCATTTGATGCAGGCAATCCACTGCATAAAATATAATTTTTATATCTTTTCCATTTGATGATGATACCTTCACACATACAATGTTCTATTGTTTACACTAGAATAGATAACATAAAAAATGATAATATACCTTTTTTGTGTGTCGACCATGAATGTGACCATAAAATTCTAAATTGAATACGTTAATTTCAAATCACAAGTTGCCGTTTCTGGATTCGATAGGGGAATGGCAGCAAGGGGAAGTCAACATATCCAACAAATATCGGGCAGCACATGGTCGATGATGCAGCACACCATGAAAACTTCTGGTTAAAACCGCAAGTCCATAAGAAAGTGCATGAAAGAAAATTTTACCAAACAGTGAGCATATATGCCTTTCTATCTTAACCCTATGTAACCAATACCAAACAAGCTGGACAAAAGTAGTGACACAGTTTCTGTTTTCGACTTATGTTTGACTAACAGCAGCTTTAATCAAATGTTGCCAAGGTAACTTCTCATCAGAACTATAATGTTTCGTCAAACACATGCATAAATAGCAAACTTATTTAGATAATAGGAAAGAAGGAAAAAAAGCTCAAACTAATTATAAACTCTATGTTAGATAATCCTGTACATTCTGAGTCAGACAACCGCCGTCGACTAATGATTATTAATTTTATGTTCTTTGGCTCGAAGATAACTAGAGATCCTGCTTAGGTTTGCGGCTGAACTCTGAGTAATGACCCCCCATCAGCTGTAGAACCTCTTCCCACAAACTCTCTGGTGAAGAATTTTCGAAACCTCCAAAAATCAAGTTTGCACTACTTGCAGCAACATGCCAATAACCTGATTCAATCTCGTCCATCAACTGATCCAACTGCCACCCGGCATATCCGACAAAGAACCTGAAATCGTGGGGCTCAAGTATTCCCTTCTTCACCAATGCCGAAGCGGCATCCAATTTGTTTCGAGAGCCAAAACACACACCAGGAATCACCTCTTCAAAACCGTTAAGTCCTGTAACTTCACGCGCTCTTAGCAAAAACATACTCGACTCTAGGGGTCCACCAAAATGCAAAGAACAATCGGCGAATGTTGTTGCCAGATCAATATTAGTGGGATTCATATGTTTCATTCTTTTGTGAAGTGATCGGTTTATGACAACCCCAAATGGTCCCTCTAGTGGGTCCTGCATACCAGACCTGAGAAGGAGAACGACAGTTCTCTCGAAGGTGCGAACACCATCGAGCTTTTCTGTTGCAACAAGGAGACAACCATTCTCAGGTACTGAAATTGGGTGGGCCCACTTGAGGGGAAGAGATTTTGACCCCAAAGCTGCCTTGTCTTGCTTGAGCATGTCGGAGACCACAGCTTCAGCCTGCGATTAACATTACACAAATCCTATGTTGAAAAGCAATAGCATATAGGGTCTAGGTACAATCACAAAGATTTCATATTCCTAAATGGGACATGTTTCTAACTCTTGTACTTCTTTCTAATCAAAAGGAATTTGCCTCTTGCCAAAATTTTTAATAAATATGGTCATTCAGTCATGTTGCATGACTGCAGTGCCCTTTCATTAAAATGTCTTCTAGGCAAATCTAGGCATAGTTGACAAGGAAGACTAGAGTGTCTAAATGGAATAAATACTCTCACAATTTTTCTTAGTTTGACGAGAATGCCTTTATGGTTCCACAATTCGTACAACGGAAGAGAGAGTGTGTCTTAATGGATTAGGCATTCTTGTCAACTTTGCCTAGTTTGACACAATGATAAGAAATGTGGAATAAGTATTTTGGCATTTTTCCTTTGTGAGATGAGGAATAAGTCTCAAGGCAGATTGAGGTGTAAGCCTCAACACAAACCAAAAATTAAGTCAAAATATTATAAATTATTTTACATTAAACCAGCCAGAAATTTCAGAATAGTTGGTGCCACCTTGCAGTCTTGTAGAAGAAGCTTTTCTTGTTTCTCGGAAGTGGTGAGACGTGGGGTAGTACAGCAGGAGCCCAATAAAAAGGAGCTTTTCTTGTTTCTCAGAAGCTTTTTTGTCCCACAATAAAAAGGAGTCCAATATATATATATATATATTCTTTTATTTAAATTTGAGAACAAGACAGGCCCATTTGAAAATCCCCTTTTAAATATGAAATTCACACCTAAACTTAAAAAAGAAGGAAAAAATTTAAAAGGAAATAGAAAACAACTCAAATGTCAGAACAAAACTGAGGTGAGAAGGCCTAGATAGATTAAAATTCGTACAAAACGAAAGAGTGAGTGTCAGAAAAATGTACATTCTTCTCAACTTTGTCTAGTTTGACGAGAATGTTTAGATGGTTCAAAATTCTTGCAAATATGAATAAGAAGAATTTGGCAACACTTTTGAAGAGAGAAGCGTATATTTGTCAAAAATTATTATCATTTTTATTATTTTTTTAAAATGAAAAGTGGCAGACACATTTCACTCTCCCTCAAAAAGTGACATTCCCATCTAATTTCATCTTCCTATATATTAGAATTACAAAATTATATCACAGAGTTACGTGCATCAAATAAGATTGAGGGAGAGATGCAATTGGAACATCTTTGTAAGTGCATTCTGGAAGGAATCCAACGACACTAATGGCAGCACTTTCACTAATCTAAAATGAAATTGGAAAAGAGGCCTACCCTTCCCCACTAGTCACATAATAGAAAGAATAAGCAATGACGACCCAGCAGCAAGGGTTTTGCTATGTGTACATTAGGTTCGACATCCCGGTGTACAGCCTCCCTCACAATAGGAGGGGTCTGTGATTTTTTTATTGGTCGTGGGCCCCCCTTTATTGTGAGGGGGGCTGTACACACCGGGGTGTCAAACCCCGTGTAGAAATAGCAAAACCCAAGTAACAATTCAGGATGTAAGATAAATTGGGAGCAGATTAAGTAAAAACCCTAAGGTGACATTTAAGAAGACGAATATCTTCTTTGACATTAGATTTCAGTTAAAAGTGACCACCACATACTGCATCAGGTAGTTTTAGGCTAAATCTGCATGATTTTAGTGAGAATTAGTCAATCCGCAGTACAAAACAGTTTGAAACTAAATCATGATACTACTAGTTGCAGCTTTTGTATGGTTCAGTTTTGGTCTAAGTTTGAACTAACCAATAATCATAAACTAGGGGAAATTTTGTTTCAGCAGAAAACTAGTTTCCTTTAGTCCAAAACCAAAGGGTATGTAAAATACTTGTTTTCTTTAAAATGATTCACAATTCAATCAAGCAAAACAAGGACTAAAAGAGAACATTCAAACAAATTTTGATAATCTATACTCCGATTTAATAAGGTTGGACAAGAAATACCATGAACCAAATCCTAGAGTTGCAAAAATATACAGTATCAACAGCATTCTATGGCCAATTAAAACAGTACATCCTTCAACCATACTAAAGCAAAAGTATATGAAATAATAACGGTACCTGCTCCTGAATGTAAAGGGACGCTCTGAACTCTCTCCAGTCTAATGGCTTTTGACGGGACTTCTTGAAGCTTGAGTCACTAGATGTGTTATTTTCGGGATTGCTTCCTTTTAGATTATCTCCTCCTGCTTTAGAATTATCACTGTTCCCTGAATATGCAAAAGCATCCATATTGAACAAATTTCTAGTCAGTGGACATGAGGAACTCATTGATTATTTTAAATCCTGAGTTCAGGCAGAAACTCTAGATTCTAAAGTTTGGGACCAGTTAAAAAACTGAGCTTCAATTTGTCTCAATCAGGTCATCTAACTTTCCTTTTGTTTTCAATGAGTCACTAATTCCGCTTCTGTCAATAAAACTAACAAAATTTTCTTATGTAGCACTTAACGGAGATGGAATGCTGACATGTCAATTTGTTTTCTTGAAAAATAAAATGTCAAAGAAAGTCATCTAATAGGAAGATAATGATAAAACATAAAAGGAACGAAGAACAGAAGAAAGAGAATTTTCAAAAAAAAAAAAAAACACCGTTTCAGCTAGGGATGGCAATAAAACCCGCTCCGTGAAGGAAAAAAATTAAGAAAAAAATTAAAAATATTTTTTTCTAAACAATTCACCCGTTAAAAATCCATTTTGAATTTGTATTTTATTCTCTAATAATAACATAACTTGAAACTTTGAAAATGTAAAAAAATAATAATAATAAATAAATAAAAATTAAAAGGGGCAACAAACGGGGCAAAAAGTTTCCCCGTCCCCACCCCGCCCCAAACTCGCCCCGTTGCCATCACTAGTTTCAGCACTGCCACTGCCTCCAATGCCAACCCATCCACCACCTTCCCCAGCCACCAATGATGCAATTTTTTGGATAACCACAAAATCATCTTTGTATTTCATCTTCTTCATCCACATTTGCAACTTCATCTACAAACTGCATTAAACCCCACCCCACCCCCAGGAACCGATAAAATTTCTTCCTCAAGAAATTGTTCATATGGTTAAAGCAAGCAAATATTAAATTCTGAAAATGGGACTACTTTCTACTTCCTAGTAAATAAAAATTCCCCACACGGGTACAAGGACAGCAGTGCTAGATTGTAGATTTTGGTGTAAAAATCATGACTGGAAGAGGATCGAAACAGATAAAGCTGGTTCTCAATTGTTCTACATGTGTTCAAATACCGCTCAAAAATCTTTTCAACGCCTTAACCACCCAATCTTCCACTACAATTCTACAAAGCTCTGATGGAGAATACCCATTTGCCATTAATGGCTCTTCAAATGCAAATTATATGAACTGTATGAAAAAAAGCCCGAGCATACACACGTTTCACTTTATATGAGCCACATATTACAACAGAAAGTTAATAGAGGTGTAATATGCAATCAAATTAAAGTTCAATGATCCAATTGAGACAACCTAAAATTTAGTGATCCAACTGAAAAGTTTCTTCAAGTTGAGTGACCATGCATAAAATTAACCCAATAAGACAGACGTCAAATGAAATGAGCCATCTAAAGCTTAAGCACTGATTATTACACATCACTTCTAAGAAAGTAAAAAAGATGACCTAGTAGAATATACTGGGAAGAAAGATGATTTTATTTTCTTTCTTTCCTTTTTGTTTTGGGAAAATGATGAGTTGGCATTGACATATTTATTCTACTCCTTATGAGCCACATATTACAACAAAAAGTTAACAGAGGTGTAATTTGCAATCAAATTAAAGTTCAATGATCCAATTGAGACAAACTAAAATTTAGTGATGAACTGAAAAGTTCAAGTTGAGTGACTGCGCATAAAATTAACCCAATAAAACAAACGTCAAATGAAATGAGCCATCAGCTTAAGCATTGATATATTACACATCACTTCTAAACCAAGAGGACAGAAAGTACAAAGATGACCGAGTATAATAAATGCAGACTTCACCTAAACATAATTTTAATTATTCAACAAATTGTCTTGAAGATAATCTGAAGTTTATATTCATCTATTCATTGGACCTCGTGATGATAATGTGCAATGCCCGTGAAAAATGTATACAACAATTCCCATAAAGTGAAAAATGTATCAAGTTCAAGTCTCAAATACATCCAGGACTTACCGGGAACAATGAAAATTAGATGATTAGACAATATGAACAAATTGAAGAGTTGCACCTAGAGTTACTGAATAGAGTAAAGCATGCAAGCTGAGAGCAGTTGGTCTCTCGAATTATGCTTTCCTGACAAGTATATTTCAAGTGTTTATATATTTTAGCCTATCACTTTAACAAATAATAGGTGCATTCCACTAGGTACATGGAAGATTGATATAGTAAGGTAAGGCGTCAATAAGTATTGGTTCAGAAGTCTGCTAAGCAAGTACAGTGAACTGATCAATATGGAGAGTGCATGGTTTATTTCAGTTCAGTACTTTCTTTTTGAACAATTATCTGCAGTGTCTAGCCTACATATAAAACTTTCTATGTAACTAGGTAAGAAAGAGAAGAAAAGAAAAGAAACAATTATCTGATTTGCAATTTCAAGAACAATTATCTGCAGTGACTAGCCTAAAACTTACTAATGTAATGAGAAGAAAAGAAAAATCTTGAATTGGAATTGCAAATCAGATACACAACACTTATCATTATACATCTAACTTTAGACCTGACTTTAGCTGGAGAAGAAACAATCCGAAGAACAATCATGCTACAGTGACATAATGATTGACACAATGGACGACATAATGTCATGTGACATTCTATAATTAGACTGTTTAAAACACGGTCGCATTTTCCATCGAGTCACAAAATGCCACACCCTCTTCTATCAAAGAATCTGTCAGAATTCTTCTGTTAATGTGGCATTTTCCTCCAAAAAAACCCATATGATGTGCCTACATTAGACCATATGATGGGCCTACTGAATAGTACTTTTCAATGCCATAATAAGTTCATTTAATAATTGGCTAATATAATACTACTTTAAACATGTGCTTCTTTTTCAGCTCATCTCCAAATAGTAAAAGGACATGCCTGTTAAATTTCCTACACCATAATTCTCCTCTGTCAACTGCAATGTGCAAGTAATAACTCCACAAGCTCAATATCTCCAGCACATCTTGCTATCGCGGATTTAAAGCTAATGGTAAGAGCTCGATTGTACAACAAGAATAAAGAACTATAAAGTTCTAACTATACCCTCATAAGAAGAACTTTGATTTTTTTATTTTTTTATTTTTTTTTTCAATCCAACAAACTAAGGTGCAAATATTGAAGCAGAAGTTCAATCTTATGTTGAGTGTAATTTTCCCACAACATGCAAGCCTTTTGCAATGTTAAAGTAAGCAACTCCACTTCAGCGTGGCTCCACAATTAAAATTAGCTCATCTTTTTCCCATAGAACATTTTAAATGTACATCCTCTTGAATTCACTAATGTTTAATACAATAAAATCTATCACTTTAAGCTCTATTTAAATATAGCAATGCCCATTCAATTTGAATATGATTCAACACATATTGAACTAGTAAATTTGATTAAATGTGTAGCAAATAATAAAATTCCATAAATATTTTAAAATTTCTGAGTTCACTCACTACGATTATATAGAATTACTTCTGTTTTACATTTAATAAACAAAAAATCCCAAATATTACTGTGCACTCAATTATTTAGCCTATTGAAAACCTTCACAATAGAAGACCCCCTTTTTTTTTTCAAGAGCATCATGAACAACATTAGCCAGAGCTAATAAATCATGAATATACAAATATTATACAGCAAATTAACAAACTTTAAAATATAAAGTTTGCTGATTGCAAATGACACCTGCAGATGGGCAAGACTTAAGAGATAAAGAGAGACAAAGAAGTCAACTCCAACCTACCCTTCTTAACCAAACGAAGGAAAAAGATCGTAATTATGCACAAAAAATAAACAAGAAGGAAACTTTACCAGAAGAAGAATTGGAGTTCCCATTATTCTTTTTCCCCATAGCACTCACAACAACTGATCTATATTTACAAGAATCTAAACAAGATTTCCTGATCTCAAGAGCCATAGCTGAATTTTTCAAGTTCCATAAGATGGGTTTCTCAAGAATCGAATTCCTAAGGAGATAACTATTGCTTTGCAGTTGTACAGACCAGAGATCCATAATGATCACACACAAAGAAATATAGAGTGGAAAACGAAGGTAAAAGAAATAAGCTTTTTCCCTTCTTGATCTTTTTCTGGGTTTTCAGTGAAAGGAAATTGGTTTTCCCTTAGGTACGAACGACGACGATGAAGAGAGAAAATGAAAGAAAAGGACAGACGGAGGGGGAGAGAGAGAGAATATGCTGAGTAATATTTCAACAGAATTCGAGAGGAATACAGTGGGGTTGCGAGGTGAACTTAACTATGAGTTAATTAAACGACAGATTATAGGAGAGTTACTACTTGTTCATTAAAAAAATAAAAAATTATCTATTGCTCACGCAAGTATTATAGAGTTATCCATTCATCTGGTTAATTGTTTCAATGGTCACTGAATTTAGGTTAATGTTTTTTATTGATCATTAAACTTTAAAATGTCGATTTTGGCCACTGAACTTTAAAAAATATCGAGTTTTGATCATTAAATTTAGATCTATATCTTCGATTGCTCATTAAAGTTTAAAATGTCGAGTTTTGACTACTGAATTTTGAAAAATATTGTACATTATTTACTGTAAACTCGATATTTTTCAGAATTTAACAGTTATGTTAGTGAGTAACGTACGACATATTCTAAAGTTCAGTGGTCAAAATTCGAGATTTTAAACTTTAGTGAGCAATCGAAGACATGAACCTAAATTTAGTAACCAAAACTTAACATTTTTCAAAGTTCAGTGGCCAAAACTCGATATTTTAAAGTTTAATGACCAATAAAAAAAATGGACCTAAGTTCAACGATCAAAACTCGACATTTTGCAAAGTTCAATGACAAAACTAGACATTTTAAAGTTCAGTGGTCAATCAAAAATATCGACTTAGGTTAAGTAACCATTTAAACAATTAACTCTCCATTCATCACTTATCTCATTTCCATCTCTCCAGTTGGATAAATGGAAATCCAACGTGGCAACACACATTGTTAATTGTGGACAGCTGTGCAAAAACCCTATTAATGGAAGACCACTTTTTGCTTCAATTATTTATTTAAATGACGTTTTGTCCTCCTCCTCATAAAATACCAAATTCCCTATTCAGAATCATTGAAAATCCTCAATTCATATAAGAAAGGAATAATGCTATTTGCAATCGCTCACTGCGGCAGTTGTCCTACGTGATATACACATGACAGGCGATTATTTGATGCATTAATGAATAAAAAAACTACCATATTAATACATCAAATAATTACCTACCATGTGTATGTCACGTAAGGCGACTACCGCAGTGAACGATTACGAATAGCATTACTCATAAGAAAGACGCAACAAATCCAGGGTAGAAAACAAAGGTGCCGTGAATCGACAAGTAATTGGACAATTTGAAATTTTTTTAAAAACACATCCAATCAAAAACTTCCAAATCAGCCTGTTTTCTTGCTTCGTGTCTTCAATCTAGGAGTTTAATTGTTCATATAAACCCTAGATTCCTTCCAAAAGAACGACAGCCTCACAATCGAACCACATTCGTGCTTTGATTTTGAAGTAATATATTGACAGATTTGGATTTCGGTGCTTTTTTCACATTTTTAGGTTTTGGTTTTGAGGGCTTGGAAGTTTTGAATGGGAATGTTCAGTTTTGGTTATAAATTCCTACTTTTAGCATAAACGGTCTCCTGGTTATTTCATCTGACCATATATTAGATTATACATGGACTTTTCTTCATTTTTGTGTTGGTTTTGCATAAATTTCTTTTGCCGAAGTCACTCGAAATTTAATGTTAGTACTGAAGAAGGTTGAATTGTTGTGCACTCATAATATAAAATGGACTCTGACTTTTTATAAATTGGGCTCAAATTCTACCTGTTTCTTTGCATATATACGTTAGAGGAGGAGGAAAAGATACCGATTGAATGCCAATTGATTGATTCGGACGATGATTTAATAAATGATTCGACTATCATCGTCCTCTTAATGAACCAGGTAGTTCAACAATGGGGAAAGCATCAGTGCAGATGCAAACTGCAAGTATTTCACTTGAATCCATGGTGAAAGAATTTGCAACAGATAGAGAACCAAGAGAAAGAAAAGAAGAGGACAACCTTTGAAAAAAACATAAGGGTCGTCCGAGGGTCGGTTCCATTTGCTCATACAAGAAGGATAAGTTCAGCAACTCAGTAGTATGTTTGGCTGACTTGTTTTGCAAGGTGGAAGCATGGCTGAAGCTGAGA